TTTATTTATTTATTTATATATTTATTTATTTATATATTTATTTATTTATTTATTAGTTTATTTATTTATTTATTTATGTTTAACTTTTACTCAGCTTTCAACTATTTATAGTTAATTGGCGGGAAGGGATTCTGGAACTCAAGAAAACGTGTGCAGATAATATTTTTCCCCCTACGTCATATACTGTTTTACTGTTTTTTTGACTGAATAAATCTAAATCTAAACAGCGAACACTTTCTCGCACTATCAGAGAAAGTTTCCGGTCTGGTGGGGCACCGTGATCCCACTTGGCGTAGCAAGGGTGAAGAAGAACGTTTTTCAGCTCCCACGACTGCGGCGGTACATACTTTAGTTGGCGGCAGGTCGCCGGTCGCAGATGCCAGAGCCGCTCGGCCTGATACTGCACCGAGACCTCCCGCACTGAAGATGTTCACCGCAGTCGTGGGCGAAACGTTTATCATTTGAAAACAGTCGTATGGATCATACCCAACTATCAGCCGGAAAAATGTCATATGGTATGTGACTCTGCTGTGACAGCCTGCTAATAGGCTTGGCGTCGTATTTGTAACTTTTGAAATTTCGAAAATTACGAAATATTAAGGAAAGTGACCTGCGCCATTTTTTTTAAAATCGTCCTTTGCTCTATGAAAAGAATAAATGTAAAACATTATCTGCAGCCATTATTCATAAATATTATAAATTGATTTAATTTCAAGCAAATTACAAGTATTTTCTTCCAAAATCTTGTACGTGACCTTATGTAAAGATTAAATCGAAAACATCTCTATCGTCTAGGATTGCAATGTTAATTTTTTACAATTAGTACATAGAGTTGACTCAAATATGGGACCGATTTTATAAGCATACTTTTCTCTACTCGAGAAAGAACTGAATTAAAATAATTGAAGTATTTTTTGATAAAAGTATTGTTCAAAAATTTGACACGAAATTTCGCGGAAACTATTCATTCTCGAAATATTGTGACTTTTAGTACTTTTATATAAAAGATCGGTCTTTGAGGAACACATTGTTTTAATCTATCTTCAATATTGCAGTTGTCGTAAGACAAAATTTTCGCTTTATTGCACAAGTACATACAATGGCAAAAAAGTAAAAACTATTGACGATGACGATATCTTATCAGTTTTATAAAGTCGCCATGTGGGGTGTAATACGCTCCGAAGTTGGGTCGATATCGAGAATGACGTTTGACAAGCCATGTCGCACTTCAGTGAATGAATGTACGAGTAAATGAAGAGTAGAGTGCATGGCTGGGTGGGAGTGTGTATGTGACTATGTGTATGTGAAACAGTGATGCCGGGGAGATTACGGTGGTGAGTTAATGGAAAATGTATTATTGTGTGGATGGCCGTACGAGAACCTGAGTGACAAATGTCTGCATGAAGCCGTAAGGAAACCGATGAATGAATTCTTAGACAAAAGATTGTTAATATACGCTCCTGTACAGATGCGAGGAAATGTATGATGTATATTTGTATGCATGACTGCACGAGAGAATGAAGAAACAAATGAACACATTTACACAAGCGCCTGTTCTTATGAGACGAATGCAGTGTCTGTGGTGGCGATCTACTAACATAAGCACGAATCAGTCTGACGTAAACGACTGGCTCAAACTGGTGCGACCTTCCCATGTGCGTGTGAGCGAGGCGGGCGACGGTGCGCAGGTACGCGAGCGTGCCGCAGTGGGAGGTGGCGCTGCCGCCGCCCGTGGTGACGCTGGGCGCGGCGCCGCAGCAGCGCGCTGCCGTCATCGAGGAGCTGAAGCAGCTGGCGCTGCGCGGCTACGAGCTCTTCTCCTCCGTGCTGGAGCGCCTCTGCGCGCTCTCCGCGGACACGGACGGTGAGCCACGCCCTTCCTTCCCTCGCTCTGTCACTACTTCCGTTCTCAGCCTCCCCATTCCTTCGCCCCCTCCATTCTCTTGCTCCTCCATTCGCTTGCTCCTCCATCTTTGGACCCCTTCACTCTTTGGAACCCCTCTATTCTTTGGCCCCCCTCTATTCTTTGGCCCTGCGGTATTCTTTGGCCCCCGCCTGCTATTCTTTCCGGCCCCCTCTTTCTTTGGCCCCTCTATCTTGCCCCCTCTATTTCTTTGGCCCTCTCTATTCTTCGGCCCCCTCTATTCTTTGGCACCCCACTGCTCATCTATTGGGCACGCCCAGCTCTAATTCTATTTGGCCCCCCTCTATTCTTTGGCCCCCTCTATTCTTTGGATCCCCTCTATGCCTCTTTGGTCTCCCCCTCTATTCTTTGCCCCCCTCTATCTTTGCGACCCCTCTACATCTTTGGCCCCCCTCTATTCTTTGGCCCCCGTATTAATTTGCCCCCTCTATTCTTGAGCCATATGGTGCGGTGGGGCATTGCTTCAACCATCCGGTATTTCTTTCACCTCTCCATTTGCATTTAAGAGCACTAACGATATGATTTAAAATTGCCTCCAGACGTCACGACAAATGTCGTAAGTCGAGTGTTATCATGTTCTTGACAAATTGTTAGCGTATTCACGCCAGCGAAGGGAAATGATGTTTTGTTGAGCAAACTTTGTATTTGCCCGTTTAGAGGTCGGTAGCTCAGCGCTACGTAGCGCAAGCAAGCTTCCGCGACCAAAGAGAAGATCTGGGGAATGTGATGCGCCTGGCGTTGATGGCGAGGCCCTTTCTGCTTCATAATTTCGTCCACTCTTGCATGCACTTTGTGTTTTACGTGTCACATGACGTACCGTACGCTTTCATTATCGAGCGGCAACAACATTACATCATGTTAATGAGGACAATGCATTATATCGTAAAGCAATGTTCAATTCACGTCTGCCACTCCGTATGGCCAGTATAGATTCGTGGTTAATTTCTAAATTACTTTTCCCCGAAACGGCTTCATGCATTACCAAACCCCACGTCAAAGGTGCGACCCGCTGATTGGAAATACCTGAGAGAGGAAAACCCCATAAGCCGACGGGTAGGTTGGCGCTGGATCGTGCGGGGGGAGGTTACCTCTACCACCTCGGGCGATAAGACATGAACAACACTTACGGAAATATTTGCCTTAGCCGATGATGTGCCCGCATTCGCTACCCAAACGAGCCGAGGAGCCCGAGCGCGCGTGCGATGCTCCGTGCGTGCGTTGCAGTGTCGCCGCTGAAGGCGCAGCTGGCGCGCGAGCAGGCGGCGTACAAGGCGCGCATCGAGGAGATCCAGCTGCGCCTCACGTCGCCCACGCTGGAGACGCGGCGCCTGGAGGCGACGGCGCCCGGAGGGGCGGGCGCGGCCGGCGCGGCGGACGTGGCGGCGGCGGAGCGCGACGTGCAGCGCCTCATGTGGCCCATCGAGGACGCCCTCGTGAGTCT